GAAATTTTACTTGAAATGGAAAATTTCTTACAAAACTACAGCTTTGCAAAAACCAAGTCAGAAAGATGGAAAATTTGAATGGCACTGTAATTATTAATGAAATTGAATCTTGAATGCCAAATTTACCAAGAGAAAATACTAGACCCCTATAGCTTTGTCAGTGAATTCTATAATTTATACTGTTTTAGAGTAAAGGGAGGGAGAGGATGGGAAGAACACTTGACAGCTGATTTCTTGAGACCAATATTATATGATACCTCAAACTTAAAAGAACATTATAAGAAAGGACTATTATAAGAAAATCTTGCACATAAGCATAGCAGCCAAAACACTAAGCAAAATATTAGCCATTTGTCAGTATCTTAAAAACCCATAACAAAGTTGTATTTAAGCCAGGAACATATTAACGTTCCAAAATAAGGGGTGTCTGGGTGGCTCCAGTGGTTATGCACCTTCCTTCTGCTCTGGTCATGATCTCCAAGTCCTAGGATCCAGCCCTAGCCCGGCTCCCTTCTCAACGGGGAGTCTGCTTCTCCCTCCACCTCTCCCCTCTCCCTTGTGCTCTCTCGCTCCACCTTTCTCTCAAATGAATAAGTAAAATCTTCAAAAAAAAATTCCAAAATAAGTAATTATAATTTGTTACATTGAGAGAATGATAAAGAAGTACGCCATTTCAATAGATGCTTAAAAGTCAGTTAATAAATTAAACACCCCATTAAGATAACTACTTTCGAAAAACTGGGAATAAAGGGAAAATTTATTAACTTGATAAAGGATATCTACAAATGTTCTACAGTATTCATCAGATTTAAGGGGGAAATATGGGAATTTTTCATTGAAATCAAAAATTGGGCAAAGATGCTCACTTTTATTGCTTTGTTTTAACATTGCACAGTGGTCCTAGACTGTGCAATAGGGTAGGAAAAAAATAAAAAGAGGATAGGAGTAAACAAATCTGTTATTTTTTATGGATGATATAATTGTGTATATAGAAAATCTATACAAGATTATTCATATATACATTACTGGAATTAATAAGTTTAAAGAAACTGATGCTCAGGGCGCCTGGGTGGCTCAGTGGGTTAAAACTTCTGACTTTGGCTCTGGTCATGATCTCAGGGTCCTGGGATCAAGTCCCGCATCGGGCTCTCTGTGTAGCGGGGAGCCTGCTTCCCCCTCTCTCTGCCTGCGTCTCTGCCTACTTGTGATCTCTGTCTGTCAAATAAATAAATAAATAAAATCTAAAAAAAAAAAAAAGAAATTGATGCTCAATTTAAAAATCAATTAAAGTTTAAAAATCAATTAAAATATCAATTAAAATCAATTTATTGATTTAAAAATGAATCATTGCTGTTGTTATTCCTAGTCTTTCACTCTAAACCATACCCCAACGATAGCAGGCAACCAAGAGGGAGAACATATTCCACTTATGTCTCTTAGCTCTGGAGGGTCAAATAAAGGCAGCCTCCTCACGTTTTCTTTCAATTAATCTTTCCTTCATTCATTCAACATTTTAAAAAATACCCACCTTATCCCAAGTTCTATCTTTGCCTTTAAATGGCTCACAACAAAATAGAAAATGACAGAGATGACTTACCACAATAATGTGTAGAGTAAACAAGAATATTTGGTGGAAAGAAAGCACAGAGATGGAAGTAATTTGCTCTATCAGAATTTTAGAAAAGATATCACAGAGAGGGCAATATTTATGTTGGTCTTTGGATGATTTAGTAAGGTTTCACCCATTCAAATAAGGATAGAGAAAATTGAATTTAGCAGAAACAGAACAAATAAAGGCATTAAAGTGTGAAATGCTTGACATATTTGGGAAACATAAAAGCTAACAAGAGTAGTTAGATTCTTTGCTTGATTAACGTATACATCTATCCTCATGTACTTATTTGCAAAATCTTTATTTAGCTTTGTTCTGTTCTGAATCATGAAAATAATAAAGTTGATTTTCATGTCTCATGAGTACAGAGTAAGTTTTAAGACTCTTACTCAGAGACTTCTCCAAGGATACTCTTGCCTATTTCTATAAATGCATCTTAGCCAACTAAAATGACTTTTGATTATTTAAATGATTTGATTCTAAAGAATATGAAAATTACTTACTTACTACATTATAACAGTCACAATTTTATGGTGTTTCAAAATAGCTGTATACTTAGAAATTACATGATAGGTAAAACTTACCAAATTATCTGAAGTACATCAATATGGTATTGCCACTTTGTGTAAAAAATGTAGAAAAATAAATGTCCCTGTCACAGAGTCAGAAAATTTCTATAAAGTTCTATAAGTAATGGTTGCATTTAAGCTTTAGACCTAATAAAGCTGCATGAGAACTTCATGTGTCAAGAGATTGTGTTAAAAATACCTAGTGTATCTTATTACTCCATGATAATAATTATTACTTGATGGAATAGCATGATGGGTGTGAGATATTTTCTACATCTGCATCGGCTTTATCTTTTTTAAAATACAAAAGTACTCTGATTTACATAAAATACATGCTTATTTTTTAATAACTCTGACATTGATTAGCCTCAGTAGGCAATGATTTTGCCCAAATTTAAGAAAAATGACTATCCATTTAGTATTATTTCATTACAGTTAGTTATTAGATTACTAATTATGACCAATACTTATAAATATTTGTTAAATAGCTGCTTTAATCAGATGTTTTTAGTGCTTTTAATTGTGAATGATTATATGTGCTGCCAAAGCAAGCACATTAATTGTGAATGATTAAATCAGCACTCTAGAAAAGACAACTCAGTTCTGTGGTCCCTCTGTCAAGGTTTTAATTTTATGAAAACAGACTCTAAATGTCATTTGCCTTCTTGTCAGTTCAGCGTATTACCTATTATCTTCTCTGCAGAGCTACCAAAGAAAAAATAAAGAACCTACATTGAGAACTTCCTGAATTCATCTCTCTGTGTATACCCTCAAAAATGAAGAAAATTGGGGCAATTTATTGAAGTTTAAATCCTCTAAATGGCATTCACCTAAAACATGCAGGGAAATGGTTTGGGAGGTTTAAATTATCAGTGTAATTGCTTTAATTCTCTAGGTGGCTTTTATAAGTGGACACAACTTTATCGTATCCAAATGATGATTCCAAATTAGAGTTGTTTGTATTTTTACTCTCAGTACTCTGAATCACATTTATGTTCTGCATAACCCAGGTCTTAAAAATAGCCCACAAACCTCAATGCAAGAGAGTTCCAGAAGTGAGGTTTTTACATTAAAGATCTTCCTGTAGTTTTCTTTGCAGTAGCCAGCACCTTTCAGTTTGTCAGCGTTTTTACTCTAATGTCTCAGAGAAGCTTTTTGAAAGCTATATTCTGAAATCACCTCGTTCTTTTGTTCTTAGATATTTGAACACTGAGTGATGTTTCAAAATGTTTTATTAGTAAAATCCATCTGATTTCTATTAAAATTTTTCTCTAATCTCTGAGACAGAGTGAAAGGAAAGAGTATTTATAAGCAAGATAGGTCAACACTATCTAATTCTGGAATAAGTTTTCCAAGTAACATTCTGCCTATGATTCAATAGTGTCTCTGAGTTAAGAGCTTGTTACTTGGATAACATATTCTTGAAGATACTATCTAAAATACCAGATTTTTAAAAAATATTTTTAAAAATTATAAGAACTTGAGAACAGAGCCTTTACACTGACACTTCTTTCTTTCTCACTAAACTGTATTGCAAATAACCTTTTGATGTTTTAAAGGTTTTTCTTTGGCAGCTAAGAAAAACACTCTTGAAAGTTGTATTTAGTGAATTTACCCATGTATAAATATCCCTAAGCTAGTTGGTTTTCCTATGGCATCTGGAAGAAAGGTGCTATTGTTTTAGATTCCATGACTGAAGTATAGAATAATCAATTCAGAGAGACCCTGGGGGGAAGATTCACTCACATATGCTGTAGAAACTTGGAATTCCTGAGTTTTTAGGTTCTTTTCTTCAGATGAAGAGACAGATGAGTTTCTATTTCAGTACAGTGTGTGGTGACATCGGTTCCTTTTCATGCCATATTATAATTCGACCATCAGTTTGAATTTGAGACTATTGACTTTAAATTTTCTAAGAAAGCTCCTTTTTTTGTTAATACCTTTGTTATTATTACTTTCCTTTTGTTTGCAAGTGTTCTGGCTGTGCAGTTCCTGGTGCTATACACCAAGCTACATCATCAAGGTATTCCCAGGATGTATCATCAGATTTAGTTCTGCCAAAACACTCCATAAATTACTTAAAGTTCCTCTTCATTTCTCGCAAAGCACTGTTTGCTAAGCTTGTCCTTGAAAAATCAGTGTAATTCCAGAAGATCATTATACATTTGCAAGGCAGGAATTTGTCCCATGTTTCCACATGGACATCTGCATAGTTATAAGAACAGTAGAAGTTAAATAAAAATGCGCACTTATTTCCCCTTAAAAATGCACTGTTATTTAGCTTTGGGTTTGTTTGAACATTTTCTCTACCATTTATTTAATAGTAGTTGGATAAGAGCAGCTGTGTCTCATGGCTTTCTATTGTGAAGTTTCCAGAAGTGTAAAGTGGTTGAATGTAAAAACACTGCAAAAGTACAGATAATAGACTGCCCACTTTCTGTGTACTGCAACTTCCCTGAGGTTTTGTTTGCAGGGCCCAGCTGCATATACAGACATGATGGAATTTGGTTTGTAAAGAACCTACAAAAATTATACAAATAACTCAGATTTCTAACGACTAATACACAGACATGCACCTGCTTCACGGACTTCATAGATTAGTTTTGTGACCAATATAAAAGCCCCTTGGAATTCAATTACATGGCTGCAAAACAGAAAATAAAACTGGCTATACTTTCAGAACTGCTATCAGCAAAATGAAAATATTAACTAGTTCTTCAAGCAAGCTTTGGGGTGGGATTGTTTCAGTTTGCTTTGCTTCTTTCAGATTTACTATAAAGTCATAATATTCCGCTCATTATTATCTACTATTCTTGCAGCTGGAGCCGCTTGCCGAGGATATTCTCCACCAAACCCCGAATATGAATGCTGTTGTTTCTTTACAGAAGATCATTGAAATTCAAAGTATGTCTTTAAAGTTTCTTTTTAATTTCTAATCAGGTACAACTAATTAAACTTATACTGAAAATGAAAGCACATGAAAAACATATTTGAGTTTCCCAATATGAGAAACATATTTAGAATTATACTTCGCACATATTATATATTCACACCTAAATGTGTTACTACCTTGCTCTTAATGTGGTGATCTAACCGTAACTGATAACTCAGAGGCTCCAGATGTAGAATCTTGTATTTCTCATATTTTCCAAGTACTTGGATTTTTTTTTCATTACTACCACTAAGTGTCTGTCCAAAACAATGATATAATCTAGAAATTTTGATTATATTGTCTAATTTAACTAAGGATAAGTTATGGCCTAATGATGTTGGAATTCAGCAATCATTTACTGTTTTTTTCCTTTCCTATTTTTTTAAAATTTTATTTAGTTTTATTTTTCTATAAATCTAGTAAAGTAAAATTATGGAAGAACTTAACATTTATGAATATTATTTTTCATGGAGAAGTATGTTCTTTTTTTTTTTTTAGTTTAATTTAACGTGTGTGTGTGTGTGTGTGTGTGTGTGTGTTCCAGAATTCATTGTTTATGCACCTCACCCAGTGCTCCATGCAATACGTGCCCTCCTTAATACCACAACCAGGCTCACCCAACCCCCCCGCCCTGCAAATACTAACTCCTATTGAGGATTGTACCTAGCACTTGTAAATCCAATATTTCCCCAAACGCTTAGCAATACCATGTGGATTTTAATTAGCATTTTTCTTTTAATTTTTTCTATTATTTGAGTTTTTTGTGTATTTTATAGTCTCTTAGTCTTGGTTCCTTAGAGGATAATGATCAGGAGGACAGGAATCACATCTTTTCACCCCTGCATGTACCTGTAAAAAGGGTTGGCAGCAGAGGAGAGGTTTGAAGTGCATGGGAGCCTGGGACTCAAGAGTTGGCAGATTTAAGTAGGTTGGATTTGATCTTCAAGGCCCTAGGGACCAGAGCTTGCTCCAAAGGGAGCCTCTGAAGAAGACCTCCGCTTTCTTAGTCATGGACATATAATATAGTAGATGTTGTTGTTGGCTTCTCAGCAACAATGCCTTCCTCACTTCTACTCAAAAGAAGCCTAGTTTTCCTCATGAATCCTTGTCACCAGATACCAGGGGAAAATGAACTTATGTCCTGCTCCAGGAGATCAGTTCTTAGTCTAAGGCTAAACTAGACAACCCACTTAACAGTGATTGGTTAAGGAATGGGTATGTGATGCAATTTTGGCCACTGAGACTCAGAGCTGGCTTCTTGGGTGTTCAGCTGTGTAGTCACACAGGCCCCACACTTAGAAGGGCTCTATGCATGGTTTAATGCTCTTACTATTGCTGTCTTTAAATTTGTATAAAAAATTTTGAGCAAGGGGCCCACATTTATTTTGCACTGAGCCCTGCAAATTATGCAGTCAGTCCTGATAAAATTCAAGGTTAGTGATGTGAAAAGATACTTGCCAAGAAAGACTGATACTAACATCACCACAGGGAGAAAGAAGTAAGGTTGTGGTTGAGAAGGAACTGAATGGTGAGTTGAGGTAAAGAGAAAGACAAATATGCGAGTGATCTCTTGTCATTTGGGACATAGAGTAGAAATCACTACAGAGAAAGTTGTTTCAGACTTTGGCTGTGACACTGTGTGGTACATTTTTATGTCATTCTGTGAATTGTGTATCTTCTGAGGCCATTTAATTGTATGTCTTTGGGGCCACTCTTCCAGACTACAGAAACAGAAGGGGGCTGCATTAGGTCCATAAAGCAATAAAATTAAAGTCAGTGTTTCCAAGTACCAAATTTTATAATGGCTCGAGAAATTAAAATTATGGGCTTCTGGCCTAGCAAACAATGCTAAATTTCCTTATAAACTATAAAACTGTGCTCTTACTTTTACCTTTCTCTGTTTTATAACCCAGTCTTCCATTTTAAGTGCTCTTACAGGAATCCAGGCCCTTCTCTGGGCTCCCCATTTCCTCTTTGGTGGGGAAAGGAGTCAAGACTCACCACATAATTTGGATCCCAGTGCAAAATGAAAATGTGTGAATGCTTCCATGTTAAAAAAAATTACCATAATTCAGGAAGGTGACCACAGAGCATTGAACCAAACATGGGGACTCTTAGGTACATGGAAGACCTTTGCAGCTGCACTGGTTGCCTCTAAGGTAGCCTTTGTTAACTGAAGAACCTTCTCTTCACATAGGTCTCTGAGCATCACACAGGTGCCTCCTTTTAACTTTGGGAGGTGTTTGAATTTCAGCCTACCTCTTAGTACAGGTTGTGAAGGATTATTTTGTGCTATAGTTTGAGACTACAGTATCCAAAAACTATGTAAATGTTGAGAAGCAGGATTTGTAGCATGTGGGAAACATTCAGGCAAGTTCCTAGATAGCCTTGTCCTGAGGCAGACAGCAAGGTGCTGACAGGCCTTATATGAATTTCTCTTTGAGAACTGAGCCCCCCAGCTGAGGGTATGCAGGTGCTGGAGGCTGTGATTAACATTGGCCCTTTGCCTGGCCACATGTATGAGAATATTTGGCAGCAAGACCATCCCTGTTGTCCTGTCCTTGTTTATGTTTTACTCTTTTAACCCAGAAGAAAAGACCTTACTAGGCAGTACAGCAGGGCAGCCATTTCTTCTGACAGGTAATAAAGACCCCTTCTGACAGGTCAGGTTCTGGTTTCATCTCAAGATGGTGGATTTATACAAAGATCAGCCATTTTTGAGATGACGAAAGAGATAGTCAGGTCAAGAAGCTTCATGTTTGCACATGCTGTTCACTCTAGCAAGTGTTTTGCCTCATCCATATTAAGTTTTCTGGATTTAGCTCAGATGTTATCTCTTTTGGGAAGCTGTATATCCCTTCATTGTCATTCTAGATTAGGTACATTTCCCGTGTGTTTTCATAGCAGGGCTTGTTTTTGCTGATATTCTTTGTTTTTAATTGCTGAATTCTTTGCACAGTATCTGGCACATAGTAGGTATTGTGCAAATGTTTACTGAATGGATGAAACAGCTTATCTGTCAATATTTGCCACACTATTTTTCTTAGCCCAAGTTGATTTTTTTAACCAACAAAGGTAATTATACTCCTTGGCTAACCCATGTGGAGAAAAGATAAAGAAGAATGGGCAAAATATATGTGAGCTCTTTTTGTCTGTCTCCCATAACCTGTAATGATGAATCATTTCTAAGTTAGAAAGAATTTGAATTACTTGTGAGCTACCATTTCTGTCACTAATCTTTGAGGCGGCAATTCTCAGAGCTGAAATTAATTGTTGGCTGATGACTGTAATCACCAACAAGTGATGCCAGGTAAGAGTCAGCCCAGAGAAGGATAAATGATCCTCATAGGTATGTTTCCTTTCCTAAAACCCATCCTAACCACTTACAGAGTCTATTATACTCTTCTTCCCTTCTTTTGCATTGCAAGGTGAGAAGCAAGGTTCCCAAATGCCTTTTTTCACACCAGTCCTGGCCCATGATAACATGTTCACTGATTTTGAAGGGAGGAATCATGAAGTGAGTTTTCCATAAAACTTAATTCATGTCGTTTGAAAGACTATAATTTTAAATTCTAAAACATACAATGAATAATATTGATATTGATCTGTGAAACCCCAAAATATGAAAACCACAAGTGTAGAGCCATGGATTCCTTTTATTTATTTAAATGTTTAGTAAGAAGAGTACTCTTTTTAAGTGTCAACCAATTTTCTAGACCTCCTGCATGATAATAGTGATAATCATAATATCTTTTGATTTGTAGATCAAGAAAAATATATATGTACACAAGGATTTGAGGATTCTTTAAAATTTTTGCTGCAACCCTCCAGTGGTTTGGAGCTGATAAGTTGAAAAACACTAGTGTAGAGGATTTAAAAATGACAGGAACTTCAATACTCACAAGCCATGATGAATAAGCCACTTAACTTTTCTGAGAAATTTCAGGAGGAATGGCATGGCATATCACCATTCTACTCTACTAAGTTGGATCTACTGTGGCAACACAATGGGAAATAAGAATCAAGATCATTAAAAAAAAAAGGTTGTGGTATTTTTCCCATCTGCCTCTACTCATCTTTTTCCCACTCTAGGGATTCTTCCTTTGTTTAGCAGATTGGGGTCTTCTTAGAATTCCTTGTTATGCCAAGCACAGCAAAATGGTTACATAGGCCAGAATGAGAATGAGGAAGGGACAGTATTTGTCATGTATGTTCTTGTCAAACAACATCCATGTTTCCAGCATATAAAATTTGTCAGTATAGCTAAATCTCTCTCTCTCTCTCTCTCATTCACGAACACACACACACACACACACACACACACACACACACACAGAGTTATTTAGGCCAATGAGAAGTGAATTTGTGGTCCTCTGAATTTACCCAGCTTTTGAGGCTAGTATGAAAAGAGATAGGATTTTCTCATTGCAGCAGAATATACCATGTGACCAGGTATTTGACTTAGTTGGTCAGTATCCACTAGTTCAAGCACCAAAATGAAATAAGAAGTAACATGGGATGCCTGGGTGGCTCAGTAGGTTAAGTGTCTGCCTTCGGCTCAGGTCATGATCACAGGGTCCTGGAATCGAATCTCGCATCAGGTTCCTTGCTCCGTGGAGAGCCTTCTTCTCCCTCTGCCTGCCACTCCCCCTCCTTGTGGGTATGCTCTCTCTCTTTCTCTTTCTCACAAATAAATAAAATCTTAAAAAAGAAAAAAGTAACAAATGATGTTAAAAGCAAACAAAGGCAAGCTAATTTTGTTGATTTCATTTCTACTCTATTTCTAATAGAAATAATTAGTTGGTAAAATAAAATACAGGCATTGTTGATGTACCTACTAAATGGATAATCAGAGGAGTGTATTCAGTTCTCTTGGCAATTAAGAGATCTAGATAGTAATTAATGAAGCAAAGCTATTAAAGTAAAACTTGTTCTAAGGAGACAACCATTGTCTTTTTTAAGTGAAATACCA